GGAGTGTTCTGTAGTGTTTAGGGTATAGATCCTTTCCCTCTTTGGTTAGGTTTCTTCCTAGGTATCTTATGCTTTTGGGTGCAATTGTAAATGGGATTGACTCCTTAATTTCTCTTTCTTCAGTCTCATTGTTAGTGTATAGAAATGCCACTGACTTCTGGGCATTGATTTTGTATCCCGCCATACTGCCGAATTGCTGTATGAGTTCTAGCAATCTTGGGGTGGAGGCTTTTGGGTTTTCTATGTACGGTATCGTGTCATCTGCAAAAAGGGAGAGTTTGACTTCTTCTTTGCCAATTTGAATGCCTTTTATTTCTTTTTGTTGCCTGATTGTTGAGGTAAGACTTCTAGTACTATGTTGAATAGCATTGGTGAGAGTGGACATCCCTGTCGTGTTCCTGATCTTAGGGGAAAGGCTCCCAGTGCTTCCCCATTGAGAATGATATTTGCTGTGGGCTTTTCGTAGATGGCTTTTAAGATGCTGAGGAATGTTCCCTCTATCCCTACACTCTGAAGAGTTTTGATCAGGAATGGATGCTGTATTTTGTCAAATACTTTCTCTGCATCTATTGAGAGGATCGTGTGGTTCTTGTTTTTTCTCTTGTTGATATGATCTATCACGTTGATTGTTATACGAGTGTTGAAACAACCTTGCATCCTGGAGGATAGAAAGGGACAGAATACTTCCAAACTCGTTTTATGAGGCCAGCATCACCTTAATTCCAAAACCAGACAAAGACCCCACCAAAAAGGAGAATTTAGACCAATATATCAGGCTTCCTGCAGGGAGCCTGCTTCTCCCTCTGCCTATGTCTCTGCCTCTCTCTGTGTGTCTCTCATGAATAGATAAATTTTTTTAAAAAGTGGATTCAGGAGGATATGGCAGAGAATAACCTTATTCTTCCACTGCTCATTCATTCATGGTCTACTTTTGTGTTTGTTTCGGGGTTTTTTTTTTTTTTTGGCACTTCCTGGGGTGAAAGCTTCATTCTTATAGGCCTTCTGGTCTTCTTATCATGGAGTCCTGAATCTCGCTCTTTTCCAAATTTCCTGTACCCTCCGTGGGGCTCCTCAGGCTGGGAGAATTTGGGGTTAGGGAGAGCCCAGTGGGCTGCTTCCTTCTCACGAGAAAGCCTGGCCAGACAGTACTGTCCTGTTATGGAAGATGCAGAGTGCCAGGGGTTTTCTATTATGGAGAATTTGATGAGGACAGAGCCCCCTAAGTCCAGCTGCTCTCGGCTTTCCCTTCTGCTGGATCCCATCACCCTCTCAGGATGGGGAATGCTGAGACCCGCTGTGGCTCCTATCTTCAGTGTCCACCTCTGGCCCCAGGAAACGTGAGTTTCCTGCTCACTCTCATCAATGATGGGCAGCTCACACTCCCAATGCCTCTCCTTCTCTCTTGGCTCTGCCTCAAGGCAAGCAGGCACCTCCCATCTGACTTTTGTTATCACTCTTTTCTTGGTGAGCATCAAATGCAGTCACTGTTCCTCAAACCCCAAAGACACCTGCCAAGCCACCAAGAGTGTCCGTGAAGCCCTCTCTCAATTGGCTGAATTGAGAGGTGATACATTTTCTTCCTCCCCCTTCTTCTTCTTAAGTGACACTCTCTCGGAGGTGGTTCTTCCCGTAACCCTCTGCAGTGGCCCCAAGAAATCCTTTCCCCTCTATAAGCTAGAGGTAGGAGAGATGGGGCTCAGATCGGAAGAGATCCATAGATGGTGGTGGCAGGAGCCACTGGTGCCCTCTCTGAGCCCTGCTGCACCTGCCGCTGGATGCCCACCATGGCTTCCTACTGCAAGTCTCTTTTAAGAAGGTCAGAAGTGCTGGGGTTTGGCACCCCTAAAAGCAGCCCTCAGCCAATGAGGGATGGGGGTGGAGGATAAAATCCCAGTTCCTTCTCCCTCATGGTATGTTCTACAGCATTGTTCACAGTTCCCGAAGGACTAAGCCCAATGCCCACAGTGGGACTCTCCCCTCTATAACTATGCATCGGCTCTTTTCTTTCCTCCTATCTCACTTCCATACCAGAGCTGCCTGGGGTGGCCTCCCAGATCAACCAGACCACGAGAGACACTCATCTTTGCTCAGCTCTGCTTCCAGAGGACCCAATTTCAGTCAAAAGCCCTTTTAAAAAGTAGGCATGCTCAGAACCTATTTGCTTATTCCTAGCTTGAGGGACCTCTGCTGAAATCCCAGGACAATAGAAGTTGCAATGAATAGTCTGTTGCACACTGTTTACAAAAGGCATTCACATAAGTCAGTGTTTCTCAACCTTAGCACAATTGGCATTTTCGACAAGATAATTCTTTATTGTAGGAGGGTACTTGTACAGTGTAGGATGTTTCACAGTATCCTTGTCATCCACTCCCCAGTGGCACCCGCCCCCCAGTTGGGACAACCATGTCTCTAGACACTGCTAACTGTCTCCTAAGGACAAAATCACCTCTAGTTGAGAACCACTGATGGAAGTCATCTGATGTCATTGTGTCAACAGCAGCCTGAAGAGAGCATGATCATGGCAAACATGATGATGGTGAGGATGGTGACGATGGTGAGGATGATGGTGGTGGTAGTGATGTTCATGACGACACAGCAACATGACATAATGTTCAGACGACTTGACCAGACTTGCTGAGGTGCTGTGAGTGAATCTGGCATTTGATCCTAGATTTTCAGCGTGCCTTACCTCACTCGGAAAGCCCATGACATAGACTGGAAATTCACAGACAAGGAACTTCAGAAAAACCGGAGCCCTCCATGCGAGAATCAGAGCCAAGAATCAAACCAAAGCTTGCTGATTTCCAAGGCAGCGTGCTCTTTCCAGTGCACTGCTGCTTTCTACTTTATAAAGGACAAAGAGTGATGCTAGGGTTTTCAAATGAAAGCTACTTGCCCCCTTGAAAATGCTTCTGCTGCATTTAGATCATTGAAATGAGTGATAGTGTAAAGCCAAGTTGTAGACTCTCTGGAACTCACCGTTAACCAGCAGATCAGCTGTGAAGTCAGCTTAAGGAATAAATATTGGCGATCTACCATGTTTCACACCAGTCTAATCCAGCCCTTTCGTGAACGATTGATGTTTTTATGGTTCTTAGAGTTAAGAGGCTCTTCCCTATCACGGGTCAAGAGCCGACATCAACTGCACCATTTCTGCTGTCAAATAGACTCTCTGGCAGGCTCTTTCATACCCTAGCATTTATCTAGCACCTATGGTGTGCAAGAGAAGGTGGCAACTCCAGGATTTCAATACAGTAGGGTTTAGAAGCCGTAGCCTTAGCTGGAAATGGGCAGAGGGTATATCTCTAGGGGCTCTGTCCTGAAGCCACACATGCAAAGCCAGGGGACGCCTTTTATTAGGAGAAAGTGTTTTGGAGATGGTGCAAAGGAAGATAGTGGAGGTTATGGGGGGCAGTTAGAATCTCCCTAAGTCAGCTCTCAGGACAACTTTACATGAGCAATGTGAGAGGTGCTGGAGAGAACATCATTTGGAATAAAATACATCGCCTGGCCTCTGGAAGCCACCCTTCCACAATGTTCCTTGTGTTTCAGTTGCTTTGTTCTTACTACTAGAAGCAGCAGTTTAGGTTGTTTCTACCCCCTTCTCCCTGTCCTCCCAGGCTGGGGAAGGAGAACACCGCCCTGGGGCACTGGGTGAAGCTGTGGGGTGGAGGACAAGGTAGGGGGCTATCGTCTAGAAACTTTGATTAGGGCCATTTCCTGGAATGCCTCTCCTCAGGCAGTGTCTTGTCTGCTCCCACCCCAAGCAAGATGACATCCAAACACATAAACTTGGCTCCTACAAGCTCTCTAGACTTCCATGCCTGTACCCACAGCAGGGAAACACTGACCACCAGGCAAGTTCCTCCAGGACCCATGATCTCATTCCCTAACTCCTTCACTTGTGCTTTGCCTTCTCACCAGCCCTGCTTATCAACCTTAGAGCCCTCTAATCTTTCTTGAGGAAGCAAGCACCACCTCCTCCAAGGAGGCCTCCAGGATGCCCCCAGTCACCTCTCTCTGCACTCACCTTGATCGTTAACTGCTACCACAATTCCTGGTTTCTTAGTCTAAATCTACCACTGCTTTGTATCCCCTGACACAAGCTTGGTATATCTGAGGTGTTCAAAAATATTAGGAAGAGGGACACAAGAGAAGGAGAAAGACATAAGAAGGAAGTGGAGAAGGAGAATGGAGGGAAAGAGGCATGAGTTCATATGTGCCTGCACCCAACACTGAATTAGCTGGCACTCTTTCAATGAGAAATCCGTTTTTATCCAGCACACCTCACATAACCCATGTTTCTGTGGCACACTGAAGTGCTTTCTGGATTATTAACTGTCCATTGCAGTCCTGATATTTAGTGTCAGGGTGCTTGCTTGCATTCGTCTTTGGAAATGTGTCATCCTTTCACGTTATGAATATTGATAGCAGGTTTGAGTGTATTTCGGGAGTAAGATGCCTCCATCCCGCCCTCCGCCCCATCGCCTAAACGTAATAGATACCGGGTTTGATTCTGAAGACTTTGCCACATAATGAGGGGAAGGCTCATTTCACCTGACATGAAGATGCAGGTTCTACTTAGGATGCAGTCAGCTTGTACCGCAGCAGAGAAAAATGGAAGACCCATGCCACACCCCCAGCATGAGCCCAGTGCCTGGCACTCAGCTTCACTGGCAGTGAAGGCAGTTCTACTTACAATTCAGCATTCAATCATGCAAGAAGCTCCTTGCAGGGAAGACCATCTCCTGCATGAGTCTTCAAAACTCCATTCCCTCCCCAAACCCAGGGGCTGTGCGTGTTTGCAGGCAGGATCAGCGTGTCCTGGTCACATCTGTGGTCTCTGCCTACCTCACCCCTAGTTCCTAGCCTGGTGCCTGCCATCTAGTGTGCCTCACAAATGTGTGTTGTCTGAAGAAAAAAAAAAGAATCAAAGGCTTGTTTAATGCCCATAACTGAGTTTCACAAGATTCCTCCTTTTCTCTCTGCCCTGCCCCCAGCCTCAACCTGAGCAACAGCGACATCCTGACTATCTATGATGGTGACGAGGTCATGCCTCACATCTTGGGGCAATACCTTGGGAACAGTGGCCCCCAGAAGCTGTACTCATCCACGCCGGACCTGACCATCCAGTTCCACTCAGACCCTGCTGGCCTCATCTTTGGGAAGGGCCAAGGATTTATCATGAACTACATAGGTAAGTGTCTCCACCCATCCATTTGTAGATGTCTATTTAGATGGCTTCTTCTAGATACATCTTTTTGAGGGTTCTGTGCTACATGGTCTTTTAATGGCACAGTAAATATGTGTAGCTATTAAGCATTTGGGTTGTCTGGTCAGAAGACCAGGGTTTGAGTTTTAGTACTTCAGTACTGCCATCAATGGCTCTATGATCTTGGGTAAGTCACTTAACCTCCCTGAGCACCCTTTTGGTCATCTGTAAAATGGAAAAACTGATAGCTACTCCAGAGGGTCAATATCAGGATTTAGTAGGTGCTACCTCATGACTTTCTGATTCCTGCTGTTCCCCTTGTAGTCAGCTGGGATTTTATATCATCAGCACACTCTCCTGTGCAACTTCTCAAAACACTGTCTCCACCATCTTGCATGAACTGAAGCTGGACTCTCCCTAAGGGCTCTTCTTCCCCTGCAGCCCCATCCAATGGAGACCGTGCTTTCTCTCCCACCTCCTGTACTGTAGGATCTAGAGAGGCGAGAGGTGTCTTCCTCGCTTTTTGATGTAGCTTCCAAACCATTTCTCTAACCCTCACATTAAAACAGAAACAAAACCAAAAAAATCTGCTGTGAAGCTCCAAGCTCGGTTCACACTTGGCCATCCAACACCTCTGTGGAAGCACCCACAGTCTTCCCTCTTCCTTCCCCACCTGTGACTCCCCCTTCTTCATTGCTGGCTCTGTCACCCTGCTCTGAACAGTGGCAGGTCCCAAGCTCTACCCTGAGTCCTGTCCCGTGTCTGTCTAACTCACTCCCAGGCACTGTCATCCAGTCCTGTGGCTGTAAGCAATGCCTCTCTGTGTTTCATCGGCCCCCAGTATGTACCTCCAACTTTGACCTCTCCCATGAGCTGTCTACTCAAGTCTGTGCAAACTCTCCTCTTGCATGTCTAACTGGCATCTCAGATTTAACATGGCCCGAACAGAACTCCCTCTGTCCCTACTCCCAATCCACCACCACCCAACTGCTTCTGCTGCTGCTTCTGTCCCTCTGCCCATCCCAGGAGATGAAACTACAGCTCTCCCAGTTTCTGACTGCTTCCTCTTTGCCTGCCCCATAACCAACCCATTCTTTCAACTCTACTTCTACAATACTCTCAAATCCAAGCACTTCTGCTCATCCTTTCATGGCCAGCACCCAAGCTGCCAGCAGTCAGGAGACTGGAACACCATGAAATCCCACTAATCCCAGCCCAGAAAGAGTTTGAATGGACAGAGTGTCTGCTTAAACCCTGTCACATCATAGCAGAAGAAGCCCTGGACCACCAAGGATAAAGGACTTGCTCCTCGGGGGCAGATCTGAGACTCACACCCAGGCTTCCTGGCTCCTGGACCTTAGCATTTCTCCACACCTGATATTCTTGGCAACAGCCAAGAACTTGGAAGACACACAGGGGTACTTAAGACCTCACCTCTTTTGGCATCCAAGATTGTGGGTGGCTGCATCCTGAGGATTTCAATGGGCAAGATTCGTCCAGCAATCAGAGAACTTATTTGGGTCACCCAAGAATGGAGTGGACAGCTCATGAAAAGGGGGGGAAAGGAGGTTTCATTCTGCCAAGTGTCCCCCCACCATGCCTACCATCAAAGACCCTCTGGCTTAATCCAGATTTTGTCTGTGGTTCCTTCTTCCTCCTGGCTTGAATATTTGCCCATCCATCTCTAATATAAAGTGTTTTCTGTGTCTCATCTCTTGCCTCTAAAATACAAACCCTTTCCCTGACCATGCATGTGAAAATAAGTCCCTTGCCTTTTTATTTGTTTGTTTCCAGCTGGTAGATGTTTCTCATCCCTGCCCGCTCTGTGTACATTTCTCAGAGAGGCAGACACAAGTGTTGATCTTTTTTATGTTTCTCAGGGGCCCTTTCTCCCTCGATTTTGCTGCTAAGTGTTTTCAGAGTATTATTGTTGTTACTTTCCATGGGTTCCCCACTCTTTACTGGGTGGGGCCCTGGGCACAGGGGGACAGCTTGCGCTGGCTGCCCAGGCAAGATGCCATCCAGAGTCAGATGCCTTTGGAGGGAGAGTTTCTGGTGACTTGGCTTCAGTCTCTCTCCTTAGACTTCTCTCCTCCAGGCCCCACCCCCCACCTCCCAGTTGGAAGATGAGGTCATAGGTTTACTCATTTGTCTCCTCTGGTGCCTGAGTCAGTCTTCCAAAACCACATTCAGCTTGGTAGCAGAAATATCACCCTATCCAGGGCTACTCACAATTAACCTGGAAGTCTGGCCAATGTTCAATGTGGCACTATCTTGAAGAGGAAGTGCTCATATTTCTTGAAGCTGAAACTTTAGATTTTGTGTGTCTTGAAATTGGCAGGTACTTTTCCATATATTATTTTCTTTCATCTTCAAATGCATCAGCTCCACTTTCCAGACAGTTTGGTCACATGTGCAAGGTCCCTGCACTAGGCACCAGGACCCAGGGATGAATAGATCGCTCTCCCTGCCTCTGTTTCTCTGGTTGGTGAAAGTGAGGGAGGTGGTGCCATTAATGGTATCAGAATCACATGCTGCTGCTGCTGCTGTGGGAGAGGCGAGTATGGGGTTTAGGGGATACACAGTCTGGCTAATGTGGGTGACACACAAAGAGAATAGTCCTGTTCTTATTTCTGTCAAAGAAACACACACTCAATATCACAGGGAAGGCAGGTGGGCTTCTGTATTTAATTCTGATACCAGTCAATTGCTTGTGACTATCCATGTTGAAGAGCACGTTAAAAAGAATTCTGAGGAGTCCACATGTGAAGTCAGTGGGGAAAGAGTTATGTGACTGACTAGTGATGTCTCCTATGGCTTGGGAGAGGTAGTTGCTATGCCAGGTCTAGATTTAACTAGACATAGATGCAATTCTTATTCAGCAGAGAGATCACATGGAAGGGTCAGGGGGTTTTGTGATTATCTAGAGATTTATGAAGCTCTGAGATTGATCTCAAGGCTGGCACTCAGCTCTCAGTGTGGCCACGGCTAATCTGCTAGGACTGATGGTAGAACCTTCCATAAGAACACTCTGGGCTTACATGGTTCTGACCTCCCATAATTCTGCTTTGCCTAGATAGAAGCAAAGAGCCATTCTCTTACTGCTTCCTGTGCTTTGCCAGTGTCTGTGGCCAAGTGCATGGAGGCAAGGGATTAAAAAAGCAGAGATGAGGATGTGGTGTTTCTCAAAGAGATATTGATCACTTGTGTGCTTATTCTTCCAATCCTTGGATAATAAATAAGTTCCATACTGTAGGTTAACTCTGGTCAAATGGCAGTGGTTCCTGGGAGTCTGTGTTGAGAAGGATTGGGAGATTTCAGTTTGGTTCAAAGAAAGAGATTGCTATGATTGATTAGTGATATCTATCATGAGCATAAGACTGGTAAATGTGGCATGTACTCAGTGCATTTGAGTATTTCTTTTGCCCAAAAGTTAGACCAGATGCTGATCTTGAACATGAGACTGCCAAATGGTGGCATGTACTTAGTGCATTCAAGTATCTCTTTTGCCTAAAAGTTGGACCACGTTGCTCATCTTGACCATGAGACTGGGACCATGACTTCAGATCCCTGTGTTCCTAGTACCTGGCATATAGTAAGTGCTCACAAAATCTTAGTCGAACAAATTAGTGAATCTATATAAAACTCATCTAAGTGTCATGTTGTGCACATCAATTAGTTTTCATATTGCCCTACGTGATAGACAGGGTCATGATTCTTGTCTCAACTGTATGATTGAGGACAATGAGGCTCAGAGATGTTTATCAGCATGACTGGAGTCACACAGCTTCTCAAACAAAGAAAGACCAGAAAGGAAGTCCTCCAACTCCTATGCCAGTTTTCTCATTCTTCACAAAGTTAAAGGCCCATAAGGGTGGAAGATGCCAGAACCTCCAACTGGGATGCTGGTTAAACCTGCAGATTTCTGAATCAGGGTCTCTGGGGATGGAGTCTAGGAGCTAAAGAACAGGAAAACTAAGTGACTTAGGCAAGTCCACTGAATTAGTAACTGTGTGGCCAAGATTTGAGTCACAGTATCCCCTACTTGATAATCCCAAATGTGACGAATGCCACAAAGGAAATGAGAGGTCCCATGGGAGTTGTTCCCATGCTGGCTCAGATTGAAGTCAGACAAGCAAACCTTTCTCAGTCTTGAAGCGTTTGGCACAAGGCAGACCACATACCCAGTATCTACCCCTATTTCTCCCCCTTTCAACCACAGTTTGAGCATTTGCAGCTGTGTCCTAAATCCAGGGCTTGGCTGATTTTTCAAAGGCCTAAAAATAGAGGCTCCTGTTCCCCACAAAGCAATTCCAGAAGACATTTCTCTCTCCCCTTCTTCTTGTAGACACCCCTGAGATCTCCATTCCCCAAATAAAATCATGATGAAATTCCAGGAAAAGCCATTGCTTGTTTCTCAGAATGACTTTCCTGCAGACAGTGAAGGTGCTTTGTGTTCCCCAGAAGCACATAAGAACTGCAGATTAATTATACGACATAATTATCTCGTTTCTCAAAATCTGTGCAGTGGGCACTTGGAAGCAAGCACAGTAATAGTAGGCTTTGGATTGCTACCTCAGTAATGAGGATTTGTAGAAGGAAGGCAGGATTATTCCAGGGGAAGACTCCATAATAATGAGCTGCATGTAGAGCTTATTTTGGAGTATGGTTAATGTTCGCTGAAGATATGCAGCATGATTTCAAGAATGCACCATTAATTATTTTTATTTCCATAGTTGAGTGTTTATCTTAATCTGTATTACAAAAACATATATTACAAATCCATCAAACCCATGAATCTACAGACAGTCTCAGGATGAGGCTGAGTGTGTTAGCTACCATTGCTGTGTAACAAATATGACCTTCAAATTAGCAGTGCATATTTTTTATTTTTTAAATTTTATTTAAACTCAATTTGCCAACATATAGTATAACACCCAACGCTCATCTCATCACGAGCAATGACATTTTTTTAAAGATTTTACTTTTTTGAGAGAGAAAGAGAACATGATCCCAGGACCTGGAGATCATGACCTGAGCCAAAGGCAGACACTTAACCGACTAAGCCACCCAGGTGCCCTGCAGTGTTCATTTATGATCTTACACTTTCTGTGGATCCGGAAATCAGGAGTTTAAGCCAAATGGTTCTGACTTGGGATTTCCCATGATGAGTCTGTAGTGATGATGTCAGCCAAGGTTGTATTCATTTGAGGGCTTGACTGGGGCTGGAGGCTCGATTTCCAAAATGGCTCACTAGTGGACTAGCAAGTCAATGCCAGTCATTGGCAAGAGGCCTTAGATTCTCTCCACATGGATCTCTCCAGAGGACTACCTGAGCATCCTCACAGTGTGGCAGTTGCTCTCTCCAGAGAGCAAGGGGAGAGCCCCTCAACATCTAGTTTCAGGAGCCACACATCATCACTTCTTCAGTAGCCTGTTGGTTGTACACATGAGCCCTATTGGGTGTTGCAAGGAGTACTGGAGAATATAAACTCCAGGAGGTGAGAATAACAGGGTGGAGTGGGCAGAGATAAACAGAAGGGGTTGTCCCCCAAATCATATTGCTGGTAAGTGGCGGGGCTAGGCTTCTGTCTCACTCTAAATCGTAAAGATTTTATTTATTCATTCATTTATTCATGAGAGACACACAGAGAGAGGCAGAGACACAGGCAAAGGGCGAAGCAGGCTCCATGCAGGAAGCCTGATGCGGGACTCCATCCCAGAACTCTGGGATCACACCCTGAGCCAAAGGCAGACGCTCAACTGCTGAGCTACACAGGCGTCCTGTCTCACTCTAAATCCTAAACTGACTCTGTTAAACCAAAAGAATGCTTGGTAAGTCCAGTGGGCCACAGGATGATCTCATCATAAAATCTCTCTGTAGCAGAGTTCTCGGTGATAAAGGGATTTTAAAGTGTGTTACCTATTTCTGGAGGCTTTTTCTTCTGTTTTCTCTTTCCTCTGACATTTGTAAAAGGAACCACACAAAAAGGCCCACCTTCTCATCTAAAGACTATGTTTTTGTTTTAAAGAGGTGTCACGGAATGACTCCTGCTCAGACTTGCCAGAGATCCAGAATGGCTGGAAAACCACTTCTCATACGGAGCTCGTGAGAGGAGCCAGAATCACCTACCAGTGTGACCCCGGCTATGATATAGTGGGGAGTGACACCCTCACCTGCCAGTGGGACCTCAGCTGGAGCAGCGACCCCCCATTTTGTGAGAAAAGTAAGAGTCATCTTGTTTTCTTCCTCTAAGTCAGTGGGTGGTAAATCTCTCCCATGGAGTGTTTTCCACGTAGATGCAGTGATATCACTTCATGTAGGATCTGGCCTCCCTCCTACTCCATCAGCTCACCGGTGCTGCCCACAAAAGTCCTCTTGGAGTTCTAGGGCAGGGAAGTCAGACTCAGGGGCCTTCAGAACCCTGGTGGATGATGTAAATGAGTGAAATAGGCTGAGGGAGAGACAGTAGGGAGTGGTATAGACTGCGGCAAACGGGAATTGTGTAACATGCGTAAAAAACATCACTCAGACTCATCGTTAAAATACCTGTAGTAGCCACATAAGACCAATCTAAGTTGGACCTTGGAGTCCCAGTTCAAAACCCCTACAGGTAGCTGGCTTCATTCAAACAGCACCATCCAGCCTTGTGGCTCCTTCTGCATGCTGCCCTCAGGAGTGCAGGCCATGCAAGGCTGGTGATAGCTGGCCTGGTGTCTCGAAAAGCAGGAGAAAAAGGAGGTGATTCTGGTTTCTACACTAAATTTTAGTGGGAATGGGGGAGGAGCTAAATTTGAGGCTGGCTTCTTCCCACTAACCATTTGCTTCCTACCTCCTCTTACATGAGCCTCCATTCAGCAGCTGTCCTGCTGGGAATCCTTGGGAGTACTTGGGTAGACTTGCTCAGCCTGCCTTGAGTCACCAGTTGCATGATAAGAAATATTAAGTGTCAGCAGAGAAAGAGGGTATTGGGAGGGCATGGGGGGTTGCACACAATCCCTGTCATAAATATTCCAATGGCAAGGAAAATTAATTATAACTGGGGGAAACATGAAGGAACTTGCTAAAAATCCACTAAATGGGCTACATAGACATCTGTTTGTTCTACAACAGTATGTGAGGTGTGTGTGTGTGTGTGTGTGTGTGTATGTGTGTGTGATCATGATGGGAAAATAAAAGCCAACAGTGAGAAGCACCATGGGTGGTGAGACCCATCACAGACAAATTCACATGACCTACGTCATCATTACTTTTTTTTTTCAAAGATTGTATTTATTTATTTGAGAGAGAGAGCAGGAGGAGGAAAGGAGGAAAAGGGACAAGCAGACTGAACACAGACTCAGCACCCTGAGAACAGAACTGGACTCGGGCTTGATTTCACAACCCCAAGATCAAGACCCAAGTTGAAACCAAGAGTTGGAAACTTAGCTGATTGAGCCACCCAGGCACCCCATCATTACTTTTAAAAATGTTTTAAATACACGTCTTAGTATGATTCTTAAACTTTTGAATAATAATGATTCTTTAAATTATTTGAATAATGTTTTTAAATTCTTGAATAATGATTTTTAAATATTTGAATAATAACGATTTTTAGAATATTTTGAATAATGATTTTTGAGAATTGTTGAATAATAATGATTTTTAATTTTTTTAATAGTCATGATTTTTTATTAGTAATTATTTTTTTAAATCCTTAATAATAATAATGACTTTTTTAGGGGTGCCTGGGTAACTCAGTTCATTAAGTGTCCATCTCTTGATCTCAGCTCAGGTCTTGATCTCAGGGTCATGTGGTCAAGCCTCATGATGGGTCCCATGGAGTCTACTTAAAAATATATATATAAATAATAATGATGTTGATGATGTACATTGTGTTAGTGAGTTCTGAAGGCTTGGAGAGGACATAAACTAGCTCTCTCTGGGAAACTCTCAACTGCCTCAAATTATGCCAAGAAAAGGCCCAAATTAGAGCAAATGGATTTGCATTGGGCCCCTTCTAGGTATCAGCATTTATGTTCCCAGGCTGGTTGCCTGTCGCTCTGCATGTAAGACAGAGACCCACCATCCTGCCTCGGTGGCTTCTCTTCTAGTGAGATAAGAACAGCAGAACGTCCTGAGAACAGTGGGGTCTCCCCCCTAGAAGTCCCTAGGTGCAGTCAATGCCTTTCATTCATTCATTTGTTGGTTCAACTACACTCGCAACATCAAAAGATGTATGTAACCGTAACTTCACATTATGCAGATCACAGGTGCTTACTTCCAGAACTCAAGCAGGAGGAAGCTTAGGAAGTACAAAGTGAAAATACCTCATGATCTTCCTCTCTAGAAATGATGCCTCTCACTTAACGGGATGAGCACTGGGTGTTATGCTGTATGTTGGCAAATCAAACTCCAATAAAAAAAAAAGATACAAAAAACAAGAAAAGAAATGATGCCTCTCCTAAAAGTTTATTCTGTGTTGTTCCAACTGCATTGTGTGTTACACATATGCACATAGATGTGTGCGCATGCACGGCAGGCATATATAGACACAGGGATATTCATGCAGAATATCCCCTATGGATGCAGATATTTTACCACTGCTGTTTTCTCAACTCAGACATCCAGATAGCTTTTCATATCATACATGTGGTGTGCTTCATTCTTTTTTTAAGTGACTTCCTATTTTCCTTTTCTGTATATTGTTTTTTTTTTTTATTGAAAAGTAATGTAAAACAAGGATGCTGGGGATCCCTGGGTGGCTCAGCAGTTTAGCGCCTGCCTTTCGCCCAGGGCGCAATCCTGGAGTCCCGGGATCGAGTCCCGCGTCGGGCTCCTGGCATGGAGCCTGCTTCTCCCTTCTCCTGTGTCTCTGCCTCTCTCTCTCTCTCTATGTCTATCATAAATAAATAAATAAATCTTTAAAAAAATAAAAAACCAAGGATGCTTGTTTTATATATACAGGCACCATAAAAGCAGTGAAGGTCACCTCACTTTGCTCTCTTTAATGGTTGCTCAGGATTTCATACAACAGCTGTTCTGCATTGAACTCTTCCCCTGTTAAACAATCTGAATTGTTTCTTTTTTTTTTTTGTCTTTTTTTTTACCATTGCAAATAATGGTGCAATGTACAACCTCGTACATAGGTCTTGGAGTCCTGATGCAAACATTTCTTTGGGCTACTTCCTATACGTGGATTTAAACTCAGCTCTCTTTCATCCTGACCCTTTTGAAGAGCTCAGATGCAGTTCTTTTCCAAACAGGAAAAGAACAAAGTTAGGAAACTTGGCCAGATCATTCTATAGTTCTCAGCAAACCTGTGATCATCAAGAGCCCTAACACCCTCTCGATCTGATTTTGTCCGCAGTTATGTACTGCACCGACCCTGGAGAAGTGGACCACTCAACCCGCTTAATTTCGGATCCCGTGCTGCTGGTGGGCACCACCATCCAATACACATGCAATCCCGGCTTTGTGCTGGAAGGCAGCTCTCTTCTGACCTGCTACAGCCGCGAGACTGGCACACCCATCTGGACGTCACGCCTGCCCCACTGTGTTTGTGAGTCCTATCTGTTGACTTGATGCCATCTGTTGACTTGATGCCAACGGAGGCTCACTTCTTCTTCATGGTGGAGGGCTGGGCTGCTAGGAGGAGACATTCTACTCTTTAAGAGCACTTACTGCTATTACTACCCCCAGGACCATGGGTGGCAGACCGAAGGCATGCATACTAGAACATTTATTGGGCAATTTACAGTAAATTTATTGGGCACTGTGCTAAGTCCTTTACCAAACGTCCCTCCCACCTGCCTCGAGTGGCCTTGTGAGCAAGGCACTGCTGTCTCCATTTCAAGAAGAGGATACTAAGGTTCAGATAGTGAAATCATTGGTGTTAATGATGGACCTGTCTGACTCTGTGGAAAATCAAGCCATCCACAGGACATGAAATCGGTGTATTTAAACTCTCTTTACTTTTATCTATGTGAAGCCCCTAAAGCAAATATTTGATTAAGAAAAGACTTTAGGGATTTCTTAATCATAAATAATCAAAGAAAGGCTTCCAAAGTCATTCTGACAAGGGAGGAATTACTCTTCTTGCCAAGGAGAGAGGGCAGAGAGCCGTAGTCCAGGGGGCTCAGCCTGACTGACTGCTCATGAAATCACCAGGGAAGTTTTAAGACTCCAGAGATTCTGGTGCTCCTGGTCTGGGGCGGAGCACGAGCAGTGAGGTTTTTCAAAGCCCCCACCCAGGGGTTCCAATGTGCAGCGAGGGATCAGAACCATTGCTTAGAGAAAACAGGAGGTAACACAGAAGGAGCAAAGCCTCACGCAGTATGTAGATTCGAGAAACTGTCAGCTGCGCTAATATTTTGTCTGAGTGTGCTTTGAGCAGCTCCATGAAGGCTATAGCCAGCTTGAGCTGCCAGTAGGGCTACATCAAAACTAAAATTAAAGTCTTCTGCATGGAAAAGGGGGACATTTTTATTCTGCGTTCACATGGAACAAGGAATCTTGGACCTCACACCCTGGGTCCCCATCCACCTCTTTAGCAGGATCCTAGAATTTCAGAGCTAAGGGCATCTCTGAGGTAAAATACTGTACAGTTGATAGGTAATTCAGACATAAGACACATCTGCTCCCTTTTTCAGCTAATAATGATTATTAGTTAATGATTGTGTAAGACATCATAGTAAGCACATTATATGTGAATGTATTGTGCATGTGTGGGTGGCGTGTATGTATCTGTGTGTGTGCGTGCAAATGTACTAAGAAAACCAAAGCTCAGGGGGAAAATAGATAACAGTAGTTATTGTTTATTGAATGTCTAAAACACACTGCTAAACACATTATATGTGTGTGTGAATGTATAAGTGTGAATATGTGTGTGTGCATGTATAGGAGTGTGTATAAAAGCAGCTGAGACTCACAGGGACATGTGATTAAGGCCACAACACTTTTCCATGAGCAGAGCTGGGATTCCAGTCTTGGAGTCCAGGGCCACCAGCCTTGCCCCGACATATTTCACTGTAGATGGCAGGGGACAAGCCCCTATAGGGGTGTCCCAACGAAATTGCAGCCTATGGCCCTAACCCCTCACCCACAAGCACCCAAACTCAGTACTATAACTGGGACATTTTCTGAAACTAGGGGCTTTGCAGTAATCAAGTTAAGGTAAGGTCCTACAGGATTAGGATGGGCACCAACGCAGTGACCAGTGTCGTCATAAGAGGGAAATTTGAACACAGAGACCCAGGGGGCATGCCTGGGTCTGTGCTTGCAAGTCCAGGAACACCAAGAATTGCCAGCTACCACCGTTGGAAGCTAGAAGGAAGGAAACAAGGACAGACCCTTCCTTCCCAGAATTCGGAGGGAGTGTGGCCCTTGAAAGCCATCCTGACCTGGGAGTTCTAGGCTCCAGAGCTGTGAGACAGTGCATTTCTGTTGTTCAAAGCCTCCCGGTCAGGTACACTCTGCTAAGTCAGCCCAGAACACCAGTGCGGTTCCCATTCCCTGCTGGTGACGGTAAGGGCGATCAGAAGCTGCCTAAGCCAGTCAAGCTGCAGAGACCCAGAGATGAGGAGCTAAAAATAAAAGCTTATTGAAAAGTACTGAAAGGTGGAGACATCATTTAAACGAAAGAAAAAAAAGAAAGAAAAGTCACTTCGCTAATGAGGCACAGCCTCCAAAGACCCTCTGGGCTGTGCTGGTTGCTGGGTTTCAGAGACACAAGCCTCCCTCCCTCCGGGGCAGCCGTACCCTGGAATCTCAGTTGTGACGGCTTCCCTGACACCCGCGCTAATGAGTCACGAGCCAGGCTGGGTGTCAGGAGACATTCGATCCTCCCAGAAGCCCAAAGAGGAACCCGGCATGTGCTTCCAGCCTCATTACAGGGAAGCGAGACTGGCAGGAGATGGGAGGCAAGAGGATGGTCAGTTCTGACAGCAGGAGTGGGGTGGGGTGGGGGTGTCAGAGAGAGAGGCAGGTTGTATTCGGGTTCTGAGGGTGTTTTTAAGGATGAGTTTGTTAGGCATCCACAGCTTTCCAGTGTTTCCTCTGCTGAACAAGGGTTACAGCCCCACTGTCAGCATCCCAAGCCCTTCCCCAGCATTAGTGCATTTAACACTCTTGAAATTGTATGGGTGGCACCTGTGTCCACATAAAAGCAGGCAAAGGAAGCCCAGAGAGGGTGAGCAGCTTTCCTGAGGCTGCACAGCAGGGAAGGGGAGAACCCAGGATTCCGACGGAAGCCAGACTAAGCCCAACAGCAGTGTTTTCCTACCTCACCCTCTGCAGTCCCAGCTTCTAAGCAAAGCTCCAGCACTTTACTCCTGACAAAGATCTTCCACCCACAAGCTCATGAAGCAGACAGAGCCAGCTGTAAAAGCTCTGGATGTCTCCAACTTCTGTTCCCAGTGTCTTCCTCAAGGCCAGAGTTTGGTCCAGCTGGGACTCACAACCATGTCTTTTCACTCCTTCAAGAACTGACAGGTCAAGCATAGATAGAAGGAAGTGTCTGGAATTCACAGCCAGACATACACCCCCAGCTCTGCGGGGTGACCTTGGGTGAGTAGCTTGCCCTCCCTGGGCCTCAAAGCCCTCAGCTGTGAAAAAGAAATGATACTTTCTACCAAGCAGGGCATTTGGAAGTAACTCATTCAATTATTCAAAAAATGCTTCCAAATGCAGGCACAGGCATGCCCAAACTTTCTCAACTCACAGTACCCTTGGCATCTCAGGAATTTATTTGGTAAATATCCTAGGCCAAAATACGAAACAGTCCCATTCGTTAAGTAGTTATATCCAAACAACTTAACAAGGAACTATATCCTGACGACTTAGTAGCCATTTGAAAAAGTAGTGCACATACTATAAGATTTTATTTTTTATTGCATTTTTTTAAGATTTTATTTATTTTAGAGAAAGAGAAAGGAGAGAGAGCAGGGGGAGGAGCAAAGGGAGAGAATCTCAAGGAGACTTTACGCTGAGCAGGGACCCCGATGTGGGGCTCGATCCCACAACCCTGAGACCATGACCTGAGCGGAAATCAAGAGTTGGATGACTCAACCAACTGAGCTCCCCAGGCACCTCATGATTTTCATTGCATTCTTAAGTAACTAGAATCGCAGCTACAGGGGTGTGGGTGCCTCTTGGCCTCTCTGCCAAATTTCTCAGATTTCAGCATCAGACTGGACTCTGCCACCTTCATTCTGTTCCAATTGATTTTATCAGAGCTCTTTCTTTTTAGCAGAAAACCCAGCTTTGCAAAGCTGGGGCATCATCAAAAGGAATGTAGTTCTGTCTAATGTGAGAACCATTCACATGGGTCTGAGAGATGTTCCTTTGTCTCCTCAAATTTTTGAAAAATCTCACCGGGCTGCTGTTTATGCTGGCACCCCGGGGTGCCTCGGTACATGGTTTGGAAACTGTGGTGCAAAGCCCTAAAAATACAGCAGTGTATAAGCAGACATAATCCACATTCTCATGGAGCCTGGGGTCTGTTGGAGATGGGAGGAGGAAAGACGGGTCTGTGACGCAAATAACAATGAATCCCCAGCATCACCTCCTCTAGGAAGGCCTCCCTGACTGTCTATGCTAGGTCATGTTTCTCTTCCTGTAAGCTCCCACAGCTCCTATAGTTGCATCGATCACAACACTTGTGGCAGCTTATTGAAGTGATCCCTATCTGTTCATAGAACTGAATACATAACTCACTTGCCAGGATTGTATCCAATGGGTTTTTGCAGCCCTCAGGCCCAGCAGGCTCAAGAAACCACAGTACTTGCTACTATTACTGTCATTGATATTGTTGGCAGTACTAATGGGGTCTTTGTTGCAACTTCTCTTCTTTGATAGCGACAGAAGTAGTACCTGACTCCTGAGGCTCCCATCCAGGAGACATAAACCGCACCACCAAAAGTGATGAAAAGCCTACAAATTCAGGGAGGGTTTAAGGGTGGCTCCCCAGGGAAGTCCTTAGGGATTCCCCAGGAGGCCCTGGTTCATCGCAGCCCTGCCCTCAGAACACCACTAATAGGAGACTTCCTGACAGGGGCAGAGCCCACATGGCCAGACTGTGGCCATAGTAAAAGTTTCCACTGATGTGTCGTCCCCAGTGGCCTCACCTTGTCTCCCATGCTAGGTTCTCCCCAGGTGCCCCATCCTCATTTAGAAATTCCTGTCTCTGAGAAAGCAATAGCTCGGAGGAATTCATGACAGCCCAGGGGATTTGGCCCCCCACCCCCGCCTCCGCTACCACAGACGTTAACTGCATGGGACTTTGAACCCAGGGGGTCCGTGTTTGCATCCCAGCTCTGCCACTTGCCAGCTGGGTGACTTGGGACAAACCAGCGTCCTCATCAAAAAACATGACCGTGGCGACCATAAATACAGAAGCTCATAACCATGTGTGTGGCATACAGTAAGTGCTCAAATAACACTGGTTGCTAATGACCACAAGGTTTCAGGCTTCACTACTTATGGGGCATCTTACAAACCGTTCACAGCAATAAACTGGGGAACCTGATGTTGACACTTCGTTCAAATGTGCTCCAAAAATAATTTCCCCCTATAGTTAAGGAGAGGGGAGACCTGGGGAGGAAAATGGAAATGAGGGTGGATTTGCGATTGTTACTAAGACCTCCAGTCCAACTCAGTTGTATTCCTGAGAAAGAACAGGATGACTTCACAAGGATTACAACCAGAATTGTTTAAAAGCTGAGATCAGTGGTTCTCAGCCAGGGGTGACTCGGCTCCCCAGGAGACACTTGCCAATGGCAATTCCTGGAGGCATGTTCGGTTGTCACACAAGAGCTGACAGGTGCCACTGGCATCGAGTGGATAGAGCCCAGGGATGTGGTTCAACATCTTACAAGGCACCGGATGACTCCACCACAAGGAATTACCCGGCCCAAAAAGCCAGGAGCGTCTAGGTTGAGAGAACCTGCCTTAGATGATCTTATTTCAAAGTCTGGGTACCTCCTTGGAGTGGGAATGTCATCGCCCAGCCACATTTCAGCTAAGGATGGGGTCTTGGTCCAATCCAGTTATGTAACAGGCGAGAAAGATAGGGTCCAGAGCCTGGAATAGGCTAAACCAGAAATGGGCTCAACTCTCCAGTATGTCTTAAGCTGCCAGATGTCTTTCATGATGCTCCTACTGTATAATTTAGGATCGTGTATGATAGTCCTACTGCAGAGCAGACCCTGGGCTTCAAGCACACCCTAACAGATTCATCTCCCATGAGGAAAACAGATATTAAATAACTCAGTACAATACAGCGTGTTTAGTGCTGGGGTGAAGGAAGAACTCGGAAGATGAGTGACTCTATGAGGGATGGAGGGCACCTGGGAAAACTCCTTGGAGGTGGGGGAATAAGGACTGAGTATTGAAAGACCAGACTTGTCCAGGCCAGGTGGGCAGGTAAGGTGTAAATTGAGGAGCAAGAGGAACATTTCATAATTTAACAACACGCTATGACCTGCCAAGAACATGCTAAACACTTAACACTCAGGATCTAATTTCATCTTCCAAAGCCCCAGGACAAAGATACTACTATTATTCCCATTTTAGTGATGAGGAAAATCAAGGCTCAGAGAGGTTGTGGCCCTTGCTGGAGGTCACACAGCGAGTATGTAGTATAACCTAGACTTGAACCCAGATTCCATAGCCCAGGACATTCAACTGTACCCATGTGTAATGTGCACCCATAGGTGGGAGACAGGGAGGTGAGTCTGAGGAATGGGAAACCGCTGGAGGTGAGGGGAACACAGATGGTACTGGCGAGGCTGGCCAAAGCCAGATCATACAGGCTGGGAGTGGGAGTCCCCCAAGATTTGCATGATCTCATCAGAGCTGTTCTGGGCTTGCATTTCAGCGGAGGAGTCCCTGGCATGCGACAACCCCGGCTTACCTGAAAACGGGTACCAGATCCTGTACAAGCGGCTCTACCTGCCAGGAGAGTCCCTCACCTTCATGTGCTACGAAGGCTTTGAGCTCATGGGCGAAGTGACCATCCGATGCATCCTGGGACAGCCATCCCACTGGAACGGGCCACTGCCCGTTTGTAAAGGTAAAGAAACCTGTCCGTGACCCTGGGGTGGAGGGACCAAGAGATGGATGTCAGGCCTGGCTTCTTGTTACTATTCTCATTAAATCTAAGATACTGCCATTATTTTCTGCACCGCTAAGAAAGACCCAAAAAAAAAAAATGCTGCCAATTAAGCAATGGCACAATGCCTTCTCCTGGCTTAGTATTTTTATTTTTACTTACTAAAAGCTGTGTTTCAAGCTTAGAGTTTTGTTATGGAGAGCCATTCTGCTTTTGACTCCTGGTGCAGCTACATGGCTTAAACATTCCCCCCCTCCTGCACCCCGTTTTCACAACCACCTGGTTCCCAAGGGTTACGACTGCTCCCCTGTTGCCTCTGGGGTGGTCTCTCCAGCTGCTCACAGCCTCTCCAGACACTGAAGATGGGGCGCTGGAGGATGGCTCGCACACAGGCAATGTGAGCGCCACCTGCTGACAGCCGGTTAACACGCCATCAGTTGCAAGACCTCTTCCCCCTCCCATCCGGGAGATGGTAAAGAGGGAAAATGTATTTTAGAATCAGTGAGACACTCATCATTGAAATTAAGTTTTGACATACCCAGTGAGATTTGGATCCATTTATCTGGGTCTTTGAAGTGTGCGATTAATAACAATATCCTAAATGCAGTTGATGCTTTAGGCATCGAACCTTTTATGGCATTAATCCCCTTTGAGAAAGAGTCAGAAAGCTCTGAATTCTCTCCCCAGCAGGGACAGAGGCATCATGGAATTTTACATTTCTACCTGGGAACCCATAACTTCAATGGATTCCCCAAATGCTTTATCATGAACGCCAGCATTAAGCCTTACAAATGCTCTCCGACCAGCACTTCTACTCCTAGGTAGATGCGCAAAATAATTGCAAACAAGTATTCACACCAGCACTTGTGCATGAATATTCATAGCAGCATTGCTCACAAAAGGCGGGAACTATCCAAATGTCCAACAACTGGGGGATGTAAATAAAAATGTAGTGTAACCACACGGGAATATTATTCAGCTCTGAAAAGGAACAGAGTGCGGACACCTGCCACAGCCTGAATGGACCTTGAAAACATAACACTGGGACGCCTGGGTGGCTCAGCGGTTGAGTATCTGCCTTCAGCCCAGAGCATGATCTGTCCCAGGATCGAGTCCCGCGTAGGGCTCCCTGCATGGAGCCTGCTTCTCCCTCTGCCTATGTCTCTGCCTCTCCTCTCTCTCTCTCTCTGTGTGTGTGTGTGTGTATCATTAACAAATTTTTTTAAATCTTTAAAAAAAAAAAAAGAAAACATAACGCTATGGGAAAGAAGCCAGATCACATATCCTATGATTCCATTTATGTGAGATATCCCAAACCAGTAAACCCAGAGACAAGAAGCAGATTGGTGGCTATCATAGGGCCAGGGGAAAAACAAGTAACTACTTTGTTGGTACAAGGTTTCCTCTTAGGGGTGATGAAAATGTTCTGGAACTAGATAGAAGTGATGGCTACCCAACATCGTGAATGTACTAAATGCCACCAAATGGTTAATTTTATATTATGTGAAATTTACCTCCGTTTTTTAAATGTATTTTTTCCCTGAATTGTCTCACTTAAACTTCAGGACCACACTTTAAGATAGATGAGGCATCTTACCCATTTTACAGTTACAAAAGGAGAGGCTCAGAGAAGTTAAGTGACTTTCCGAGAGCCACACAGCTGTTACACGACAAATCTAGGATTTGAACCCACATCTCCTGATTGTAAATTCCCTGCCTCTTCCCCAGCGGGCTGCCTGCAGGGTAGACTGCAGAGCTGTTAGGCTGGTAGCCTCCAACCTGCCAGTCACTTCAGAATTAGAATCACCCAGACTGTTTATTTGAAATACATTCTTGAATCTACTACCCCAGATCTATAAAATTAGGAGCACTGATTCAGGAGTAGAACCCTGAAATCAGCAGTTTAACAAGCCCTGGGTTGCCCAAATGCACTTTAAATTTGAGAACCACTTACGGCAGTGGTTTCCAAATGTAGGGTATAAATACAAACAGGTGTCTGGGCCCCTGGAGGGCAGATGCTGTTCACGAGGTCTAGGGCTGGTGCCAGGGGACCGGTGTCACTGGCACCAGCAGTGAGTCTTAGCATCAGGCAAGTGCGGGAAACACTGGCATAGAAGTGCTGTGTATTCTCACCTCCAATCAAGCAGTGACCCGTCCTGTGAGGTCAAAGACCATATAGAAGTAGTTCTTAATAAGAGGACAAGGGATCCTGTTGAAATGCAGAGAAAAATAAGAAATTGGCAACTGGGATTTAAGACAACTGCCATCTTCCTCTTCGTTGCCATAGTTTTTGACAAAGTCCAGCCCTGTGTTTGAATTTTTTTTTTCGATAGCACAGGAAATCTGTTTTGTAGGGTTCAAACATTGGGATGTTTTCCCCGGGGAAAGATTCCCTGTAAGCATTCTAACTGCTACATGGATGTTAATAGAAGTTGATCTGATGTTGTGGGTAAGTGTTCTGCATGGAGGGAAATTGGTAGGGTTTGTTTTTAAGAAATCTAAGTAAGGGGACACCTGGGTGGCTCAGTGGTTGAGTGTCTGCCTTTGACTCAGGGCATGATCCTGGAGTCCCGGGATCGAGTCCCACATCAGGTTCCCTGCAGGGAGCCTGCTGCTCCCTCTGCCTGTGTCTCTGTCTCTCTCTGTGTCTCTCATGGATAAATAAAATTTAAAAAAAAAGAAATGTAAGTAAGGATACCATGGAAGGGTCATTTTTTACTTCTATGCATGATCTGCTCCCTGATTGTTTCTATTCCTTTTTGGATTAGCTGCGAAAGGTGTCTCATGCAAAAGTAGAGGGACCTAGAGATGCCAAGGAGGTACTGGGGCTTTTTCCTTCCTTTCTCCATCACGTCCATTCCTCCCGGGAAGCCGGTACTGATCACCGTGAGTGGACTGCCACGAGTAGACAGGGCTGCAAAGAGGGGGCGGGGTGTGTTTGTTTGCTGCCAAGTACAAACGCCTCATACCAGACGTATTCTGTATTTCACTTTTCCCCATTTATCACAACCCATCTGTCAAGTTGGAAAGAAGAAAAAAATGGAGCTCGGCCTTATCTTATTAATTGCCGCCCGGCATTCCACAGCCTCATGCATCCGGTCCTTCCTCTGTGGATGGATCTACTGGCTCTTTTCCGATTTCTTGCTTGTTTTGTCTCAGTTCCTCCCAGAAATCTCCTTGCCCGTGAATCTTTGGGCGCTGATGTTTCTCATCAGATAGGACTGATTCCTCCAAGTGGGATTGATGGTGTGGACAAGTGGATGCTGAGTTCGTGTGGACTTCGCCAGATTCTTTTCCACAACTGTAGGGATTCATGCTCCACCTCCCCAATAATGTGTGATAATGTCCTTTAACCCCCACATCCTTGCCAGTGCTAGATGTTATCAATTTTTTTTTATGTTGCCAATTCGATGGGGAGGTGGAACTGCCATCCTAAAATACACTAGAGACAAGGATCAAAGATGCTCAGTATCGCATCCCTGAAGCTTCTATGTTCTAAGATAGGAGAGCCCTTGAAGCTCCAGCAAGTGAGTGGCTCTCTGCCCCTCACTTTCTTCCTCAGGCATGATAGAGTTTCTGGCAGGAAGGGATCTTGGGGGATGCTTTCTTCTTCCTCTTCTCTCCACTGCTAGTCCTGAGACCCTGTGACTTTGTAAGGAAATGACAAATCACCTAGTCTTCCAAAAAAAAAAAAATAGGGTGCATGGCTTTGTGGTCTGCAGTTGGCAAAGTGACCAAGCTCCAATGTAAGGACACCTGACTGGGACTCAGCGACCCCAGGCTTCAGCCTGCCGGGCTGTGGACCACCTGCATGACCGTAGACGAGCTACCTTCCCTCCCTGATCTTGGTTTCTCTTTGTGTGAAATAAAAGACAGGGCCTGCGAGGCTGCATTTTAGCATGTGCACCAGGGCGCTACTGACCACACTCCAAGGGACACAAGTTTCAAGGCTTTCTTCTGGCTCCGAGATTTAGCAGGAGTTCACACACTCCCAGACACGCAACCAAAGTCCCGCTCATGTCTAGGTGGGAAGTATCTGTCTCAATCTCTCCATTTTCTTGATGCCCTAGCTCCAGAGATAATCTGCGGTTTAGTTAGTTAGTAACCTAGCTTTTCAACTCATTCTTTTGGCATCACATGTTGATGACCAATGTCAAGGAATGACGTTGGCCAAGGCACAAATTAGGAAGTCTTAGTATTAGGACATGAATACAGCTGGGCCTTTGGTGGCTGTCCCCTGCCACCCCCTTATAATGCAGTCTGTTTGTCTAAGCATCTGAGGTTTTGCATCTTTGAAACCCATCCCTGTGGGTATATTTTTGTGCTCAGCTACCATGTTGTCTTTGGTGCCAAAGCCTGGAAATGCCAGTCCCATCATCTTGAACTTCCAGAGACATTTTATAGGGAATATGAGGAAGTGAATGACTTCCAGAGAGTTCTAGTCTGTGGCAGGAATGGAAATTGTTATACAGGGAATACAAATAATAGTCAAAATAAATACAGAATAGAAGTGAAACCAGAAAGGTTCATACAAACACATGTTTCAAAGCAGGAAAACAGTTTCAGCTGTGGCTGGATTTTGGATTTGGGGCTTTATCATGAGCCTCACTGTTCATCAACTTTTGTCCTACATAGAGAACAATGAAAACGAGCAGAACTACGTAATTAAGAGCAGAGTCTGGAGAAAGTCGAGCAGTCTGGGTTTAGAGCTGCCTTCGTCCCTCAGAAGCTGTGTGAGGTCAGAGAAGCTGCTTCACTTCTCTGAACCCCTGTTTGTTTGTCTGTAAAATGGGGATGATGATAGTATCTACCTAGTGAGATTGTTGTGGGAGTAAATGAGCAAATACATACATAAAGCTCTTGGCACAGTATCTGACATATGGTGAGTGTTCAGTAATTAATCACAGTGACTATTGCTGTCCTTGTTTTTTCCTATCTATGTCATGATCTCTCAGGAACCTAGGAAAGGAATATGTCCAGACACTTCCACTAATTCCAGGAACCCAAGATAAATCAAAGCCAAGCACTAACTTCAGCAAAACGTGGCACAGGCTTTTGCTCCTAATTTTTTGGCTCCATTTCATGCAGAGTGGATTCACTCGACATTAACCAATGCTTCCAATTTCCCTTTCAGTTAATCAAGACAGCTTTGAACACGCATTAGAAGGTGAGTTCCGTAATGAAAAAAAAATCCAATAAATCAAGCTAATAGCAGAAAACAAGGGCAGGTCCTTGCATGTCCTTCTCCAGGTGCTAAAAAAATAAGCAGAAATTCTGTCTTCTCACTACAGAAGATAATTTCAAAATAAAACATTTTAAAAGGAACAAACCACTGAATTTGTAACCTAGGGTCCTAACTATGACCTGAAAGAGATTTTCCAGCCGTTCTGTTCTTGGGGTAAAAAAAAAAATCTGAGGGTGCACATGCCTGAGAAAGGCACAACCCTTCTACACCAATTTTCACCCACGTGGTGCTGTTTGGGGGAAGTAAGTCTAGCAATGCCTCACCTTCCATGCCTAGCACCCACCTGGCTTCAGGGGGGAGAGTTCTGCTTGGGGGGGATGCTCTGTGGTCCATTTCTTCCTTGGTCTTTCTCTTTCCCCAAATACCTGTCCCTGTATCCTCCTTGCTTTCTGTTCTCCTCCTATTAGGAACTCCCAGGTGAGAATTATTTATGGGGAACAGACAGTAAAAGCTGGCCAGGATTTTGTTTCAGTTTTTTTGTGTTTCCTTTTCCTTGCCACCCCTTCCCTACATAAAACACTCCGCATTCTGTATAACCTCCATTCACTTTGGTACCAAACCACTCGCCCAGGCTGTGGTGTCATGAAATATTTATGTATTTTTTTGTTTCATTTTTATTTTTAAAAAGTTATAACCAATGAAGCAGTTTTTATTATTTTTGGAGTCACTTAGCTTTCTGACAATAAATCATTCACTCTGAATGTGGGACTATGCGAATTACGTGTCATTAGCTGCTCTCCTTTGCAACCGATGACATTTTAATCCCAACAGGCAGAGCAGGGGCTCAAGTGTAAGTGCAGGGAGGAGCGTGTATTAGCAACTCTGCAGGGAAAAGAGGGGGCATTTCGTGGCATTAGCGTCTATTCAGGCCATCTCTTTGCTGCCTTTTGGAGACCAATGAACCATGAGAATGTCTCAAAGGCCTGGGTTGCTCAGAGATTATGAGTGCCAGCGTAATGTTTTGTGCTCGTGCATTTGCCATGGGTTAGCATCGATTTTTTGAGACTCCATAGAGTGGCAGTTAATGGATTATAGATCGGCGTACAGCCGAGCTCTGTTGGCTGTGGCCGTGGAGAAATGGCAGAGAAAACCTGAGTAGGAGTGTCTGGAGGAGATGCGGGGTCTCCCTTCAAGCTGTGCTGGGAAGATGCCTCCTGAACCCCCCAACAGCTATTGTAGTTCTTACAATTTCCACAAACCAGTGGGAGGCAGTGGGAGGCTCTGGGTGAAGCCAATATGGTGCGACCATAGCCTCTGAGAATCAAAACTGGGTCTTCAGAGTTGGGGTGTCATTGGGGGGTGCAGCGTCCTCTCCTGGAGGGTCTGATAGAGCAGCTCTGCCAGTGTGGGTGCAACAAGCTCCCTCTTACACATGGAATATCGAACAAACCTGCCTTCTCCAGTTAGCATATATGACATTTTCTCCAAGTCTCTCCTTGAATTGGATTTTAGCCAGATTTCAACTGCAGCCACACACCCCTCAAATGGGCATGGTATCACCAGGAGTTCAAAGAGTAATTCTCGGTAGCCCATGACCACCCCACCCAAGGATGGATCTGGGCTTCGCTGCAAAGAATCAGTCCCCTTTGCTCTACTCTCTGCCTCTTCTCCCCTCTGGGGATGGTTGCCCAACAGCTAAGGCTTTTGATGCCAACCAGCTCTTTGAATGAGTGCAGAACTGGAAAGGCAGGTGCTCACCTGGGAGCCAGGTACCCAGGCGGCCTGAGGGCATGAGACTCCGAGGGCTTCACTGGCTTCTGTGTTCAGTAGCAGAAGCGGCAGCCGAGACATCGCTGGAAGGAGGAAATATGGCACTGGCTATCTTCATCCCAGTCCTCATCATCTCCTTACTGCTGGGAGGAGCCTACATTTATATCACCAGGTAGGGGGCTTCCGGGCAGGGGTGGGGGGCTGCCATCCACTCAATGGCCAGCGCACTGGAAGACAGGCTCTCCATCTGTAACTTGGGGCTGGTGGCGTTGGTGTGCCTGTAGATGATGTGATTCAACTCAGCTCTGGGAGAAATACTCCTACTGAGCACCGCCCACCCCTCCGAGGCAGGAGGGCTGAGGATGCAGCAGCAGATAAGCAGGCCATACCCCTGAGCTCCAGGAGCTGTGGTTTAGTGGGACATACAGACATTTTGCATTGCCAGTCACACAATGACATTGATTCCATTCACTCATTCATTCATTCATTCATTCACTTACTCCACAAACATGTGGACCATCTAACACATACCGGACATTGTCCTGCCTGTTGAGGATCCTGGAACTTGCCTGCAGTACGGAAGGAAAATATTAAGCCATGGCTAGGATATTCACTAATTCATTCAAATTCACAATTATTGAGCACCTACTATGTGCTGGGAAGGTTTTTTTTTGGGGGGGGGGCGTTTCTAGGAACATCACTGTGAACAAAGCAGAAGGAGATCATTGGTATGTGGGGCCCAGGTTCTAATGGGAAGAAGATAGACAAGTAAAGTATGTTCAAAAAGTAACAGTTGACCCCTGAACAACACAAGAGTTAGGGGCGCAGACACCAAGTGAGTTGAAAATCTACATATTTAACTTTTGACTCCCTGAAAACTTCACTCCCAAGAGCCTACCATTGACAAAAGGCTTACCGATAACATCAACAGTCAGTTAACATATATTTTCTGTGTTACATGTATTATATACCGTATTTTTTTTTGAGATCAAGAGAGAGTGTGAGCATGGGGGGATGGGGGCAGAGGGAGAGAGAGAGAATTCCCAGCAGGCCCCATGCCCAGCACGGACTCCCCACACCCTGAGATCATGACCTGAGCCGAAATTAAGAGTCAGACACTCAACTGATTGAGCCACCTAGGCACCCAATACCATATTCTTACAATGAAGTAAGCTAAAGAAAAGTAAATGTTATTAAGAAAATCATAAGGGGGGGGGCGCCTGGGTAGCTCAATTGGTTAATTGTCTGCCTTCGGCTCAAGTCATGATCCTGGGGTCCTGGGATTGAGTCCCACATCAGGCTCCCTGCTCAGTGGGAAGTCTGCTTCTCCCTCTCTCTCTGCCTCTCCTTCCTCAACTTGTGCTCTCTCTCTCTATCTCTCTCTAATACAGAAATAAAATCTTTTTTAAAAAGAAAAAGGAAATCAAGAAGAAGAGAAAATACACCTGCAGGAGTGTAGTATATTTATCAAAAAAAAATCCACATATAAGTGGACCTGCACCTGAATATAAGTAGACCCGTGCTGTTCAAGGATTAACTGTGTACATTAGGAGGTGGTAAATGCAGGGAGAAAAGAAAGCTGTGAAGAGAGCAAAAGGGAACTGGGGTAGAGGTAGTGATCAACTTTCAAAGAGGACTCCTCACTGGAAATGACAGCTGAGTAAGGACTTAAAACCAATAACAAGTAACTTATGCAAATATCTGGAAGAGGAGGATTCTAGGCAGATAAATGGTATGTGCAAAGGTCCTGAGGCAGGCATCTGCCCAATATCATTTTTTCCATTTTTTTTGTGGAGCCCACAGGATTGTAGGGGGACAGGAGAAATACACATTTTTTTAAGATTTTATTTATTTATTCACGAGAGACACACAGAGAGAGGCAGAGACACAGGCAGAGGGAGAAGCAGGCTCCCTGCGGGGAGCCCGATACAGGACTCAATCCCGGGTCCCCAGGATCATGACCTGAGCCAAAGACAGATGCCCAACCACTGAGGCACCTGGGAGCCCCAGAAATATACAAATTATATATAACACACTGATGAGCATAACGAAAGAGAGAGATAGGGTATGGTAATAGAAGAAACACTTTTTAAATAGGTTGTCAAAAAAATTTTTTAAAAATAAATTAAATAAATAAATAAATAAATAAATAGGTTGTCAGAGAAAGTTTCTCTGAGGCAACACAGTATATAGTAGGTGCTCAGTAAATGCTCATTGTTGCTGTTGTCACCCTACATGAAAGAGGGGCTCGAATCACCTTCCAGGTGAAAACCAGCTGGGCTCCACTCCTCCCCAGTAAGGGAGGTACTGAGGCTTTAGTTGTCAGTGACTGGGTTAGAAGTTGAGGGCAGGGACGCCTGGGTGGCTCAGTGGTTGAGCATCTGCCTGCGGCCCAGGGTGTGATCCTGGGGTCCTGGGATCGAGTCCCACATCGGGCTCCCCTCAGGGAGCTTGCTTCTCCCTCTGCCTGCATCTCTGCCTCTCTCTGTGTGTCTCTCATGGATAAATAAATAAAATCTTTTTTAAAAAATGTTTTTTAAAAGTTGAGGGCAGTCATGATTCCAGAGCTTACCCATGTGGATCCTCACCACGAGAGGCTGTTCCCACACCACTCCTTGGCATTCGTGTAAGGGGCCCCGACCAGCTGTTCCCCTTGGGTGTTGCATGATGTCTCCCGCTCTGGGACTAGTGACTCCTCTCTCCTTTGCTCTCCCTTCTCCAGATGTCGCTATTACTCCAGCCTCCGCCTGCCTCTGATGTACTCACACCCCTACAGCCAGATCACCGTGGAAACCGAGTTTGACAACCCCATTTATGAGACAGGGGTGAGTTGGTGTCTTTTCTCCATGCCCCCCACCCGCCCATCCAGTGCCTCCCTCTCTGTCTGCTCTGAATGCACTGACATCAAAACTGAAGGTTTCCTTTCCTCTTGCTCACAATGCCCCTGGCAGAAAGGCATGGCCAGTAGTCCTGTCCCATCCCCACCATGACCGCTGGGGGGGTAACCGCTGGAGGAACCCAGCTCTCTCTGCTTGCCGATGACAAGCCTGGATGGCCAATCACTCTGGGCAGAACGATCACAGAAAGAAGGGGCTGCACTAAAGAAAGACCCAAGGAGAGATCGCCGATATGGGCCAGAACCTGCACCACCCCCCCCCGGGGGAAGCTGGTGGCAGTGGGTGGCATCCCCCAGATGACTAAACTCCACTCTGTATTGAACGGCAGCACGTAACATTCCAACACACTCAGGTGCAGACTTCGTGTTGAGCTACCCAGAGACACAATCATGAACCAGACAGACTGGTCCAGCCATTAATGAGCTTATAGTCTTCCAAAGGAGACAGAGCTGAGTAATGATAACAAGAAAATGTACCACGAGCTGGGCATCTTAAACCCAGAAGTTCCCTGAATCCCTGCAATTCCGTCATACGTTCTGCAGTTACCCCTGATTGACTGATGACAATACTGAGGGTCAGAGAGATGAAAAAAATGATTCGGCCAAGGCTGCGCACAGCCTAAAGCACAGCCTGGAGCCAGGATACAAATTCAAACTGATGCCGTTAGTCATTCTATTACCCACCTCCCTTGAACCTCAAACAAATATGCCAGTGAGATGGTTATAACAAATCATCAGTTTTAGGGACCATGAAAAATTTGGTCAGGGCACTAAGACACATGGCCAAGACATCCTAGCACATTTGGGATCCTCCCCACACTTTCGGAAAGGGGATCATGCAAGAAGGTGATCACCAGGAGGTGAGAGTGGGGTGGGGGGGCGCTACCTTCCAGTCTTCCCTCCACATTCCCATCCACCATTGATACGCTTACTTACCTGTGCTGACCCAGCAGCAACAGTAGACCTCCACTAAAGCATGTGACAATGACCTCTTCCGGGGCCAAGCCTCTGCCTTCTTATATCTCCCTGTTCCTCTGCCTTGGAGGCCTGGAGAATATTATTCACCCTTGATGGATATTGGAGAAAATGAAGTGGTTGCCACCCACATGTCATGGTCATTTTAGATATGGCACCGCTAAGAAGACATTGGATGTTATTTTATATTCTGTATACTGTGTTTCCAAATCTGAAAAGAAGGTCAAGCTGATAAAAAAAAAGAGCACTTCAGAAACTACATCTCTTTTTTTAACTTATTTAAATTCAATTAGTTAACATACAGTGTATCATTAGTTTCAGATGTAGAGTTCAGTAATTCATTAGTTGCATATAGTACCCAGTGCTCAGTACATCAAGTGCTCTCCTTAATACCCATCACCCAGTTACCCATCCCCCCTCAACTCCCCTCCAGCACTCCTGTTTGTTTCCTAAGAGTCTCTTATGATTTGTCTCTCTCTCTCTGATTTTGTCTTATTTTCTTTTTCCCTCCCTTCCCCTATGACCCCCTGTTTTAAGAAACTAGATCTTATTACTACTTATTAGTATAATGTGTCAGTTACCCAGCACTATGATAAAGCTGAGTAGCAAATAATTCTGAAACTCAGTCACTCATAGCAACAAGGGGTAATTTGCTCAAAAGTCTGTGGGGTGGTGTTTTCAGCCGGCTGCAGCTGGGGGATGGCCCTGGCTCGGCCATTCTCACTCACACACCTGGGATCGGCACGTTGTTGGCCAGGTGACTCTGCTCTGCTCTCCACATTCTTCACCTCCTCGCAGGGACTACCAGCTATCAAGCCACGCTCTGCCTGTGGCTCCACCACCCAGGGCTGACCCCATCTGTGCTTCTGTCTCTTGCAGGAAACCAGGGAGTATGAAGTTTCCATTTAAAGAGAGCTACGCTTGAGAGGGGAACTCACAGATAGGAACTCAACTACAACCTCCTCGAGAAATTCATCCAGAGACCACGTGGCATTTGATTGAAACCCCAGAATGTTGTCCGTCTTTTCTTTAGACTCTTTATTGAAGATTCACTGTTTTCTTTGCTGTATTTATTATATTTAAAATCAAAAATAGGTGTGGTTGGAGGTGTTGCAGCTGTGGCCAAATCCGTGTGACCGTCTCATTTCTAAAGGCAGGTGGAAGACCTGCAAAATGGCCAACATGGCAGCAAAGGGGAAAAAAAAACAAGAGCAACTGGGTTTCTCCATCAGCCGTGCCATGCTATGGCTGCACCAAATTGCACGCGTTTGGGATCCATGCCCATGGTGCTTTTAGGACAAATCCAAGCCCCAAGATTAGGTTGGAAAGGGTATTTCTTGATGGAGTGACTTGGGTCGGACTTCAGTTTGAACAGGTCTGCTCCAAAACCAAACCCAGGTTTGCTCTTCCAATGCTCTCAGCTTGTGGCAGGTCTTGCCCCATCCCCTCCCTCCCTCCAGGAGCTTGCTCATCTGCCACCCTGGCCTCGCTGGATGCTGGCAGACTCACAAAATGTTTCAGTGTAGATGAGAGGTTGGAGAACTCAGATGAAGTGCAGGGTGAGGGAAAACACCGAGTCAGGGGATCAAGTTAATAAAATGTTCTTTCCTTTGACACGCCATCAACAATGAAAGGGGAGGTAATTGATGCTACAAGGGCCAGAATTGATCGCTCTGTTCAGCAAGGCCACCCTCAAGCTGTGACAGTAGATCCTCACGGGGAGCTTCACCCGCGTAGTTACAAGGGTTGGTGTTGGGGTGGGGGTGCCGTGCCCTGAAATCCAGAGATGAGCTCGGTTTGTCTTCCTGGAGCACTGAAACACCTGAGCCCTCAAAATAAGGGAGACTCACGTGCACCATTTCTCTAAAAGGTGTCAGGATATTTTTGCGATCAAGCATTTCAGAAGGGAGGGTCCTATGAGAAGAAACTGCTTTTCTGTCCTCTGAAGTTCTGTCCAGATGTTGCACGTTGGCGTGCATGCTGACCATGGAAGGGCAGAGGAGTTGGGAACAGGTAGGTTTAAAGCCACTACACAGTCCTCGTCATACAATTCGAACCCCAGGGAGGACAGAAGGAGGAGTTTCAGGGCAGAAGGGAAGTCATAAACCTCCTTAATCCCATGTGCATCCTCAGATTTTATCAGGGTCCTTTCACTCCAGCCCAGAGGGACTGGTGAGTGTGTGGCTCTCAGGAACATTCTTCTCTAAATACAGGTAGAAAGAAAAGGCAGGGGTTGAGGATACATGGAAGGAATAGCACACATAAAGTAAATTTGCCTCCCTGGGTCCGTCACCTCCCTAGTGATGGCCGGTGACTCAGAGAAGGCAGTGTTAGTGCTTCTGGATCCCACTTTGGCACTCTCCCAGGCTCTCTAGAATTATTTGACATTGCCTGATTTTCAAACAAGAAAAGACCTTTCTGGCAGCCATGCCATGGAGAGGATGTCTGGGAGTCCGTATTTTGGTAGCTTGTCTAGGCAGCTCTGGAGCAGGGTAGGGCAGTTGGCTTTGACACACACAGAGCCTCCCCCTGGCCAGAAGTTCAGACTTCAGTCTTGAGGGATCTGAGCCCCAATACTTCCTTCTGCCAGAAAAGAATCCTACTTATATGATCCTTATGGCATGCATTCCTGATGCACAGCAAGAGATAATTGAAGGCTGCTTTCCAGCCACCCAAAACCCACCCCATTTTATGCAAAACAAAACAAAACCAAAAAGAACCCAGAAGAGAATCGTTCCAGACCATTAATAAGCAAAGTCATGTTTAGAGAAGGTCCAACAATTCAAATAATATAACTTTTTTTTCAAAACAGAATCCAGTCTGCTTTTATTTCTATTTGATGCTTATTCTAACCCTAACCCTGAGTCATGTGGAATGAAGAACTCTATTAATGATGTTTAATTTTAGAACATGCTATGGTTACGTGCAGACTAAACATTTGCCTTTCGTCAAAACTGAAAAAATATGAAATCTTTATTCTAACCCTATTCCCTAAAAGTGGCCAGGCCACAGCCCAAGAATCCTTATTGGCTGTTGGAGGGATAGAAAAGGCATTTTGTTTTGGGGTTTGTTTGGTTTTGTTTTTTTTTCTTTTTTTCTTTTTTTTAAGATTCCAATGTCTTTGTTTTGTCTTAGTAGTACAGCACCTATAACATGTTTTAAAAGTTTATTTTCGCCTAAAGATGGATCGTGTGAGCTTGGCAATGTACAGTGTGATTGAAAAGACAGATTGGTGTCTGTTTTTCTTTTTAGGATATCTGAATGTGTATTTGTAATATGTAAAGGTAAAAACATGATAATAGTGCCAAAAAACATACCGGGCATCTCATTTCAGCTCATACGTGTCTGTTTTTATAAGATCAATGTTAAAACCCATTGGGATTAAATATTTTTGAACAGGATACAATCTTGAGCAACTCGAGAACCCAACTGAACCTTCCTACAAGCCACTCTTTGTTTTTAAAACAGTGGGGAAATACGTTTACAGAGATTTCGAGCTTCAAAGAATGCATGTGATGGTGTGTATTACATGCTAATTCATATAAGCTGTATCTGTCAGCTACCGCTCTGTGCTTTAAAAATGCACACTCTCGATCCTCTTCAGCTTGGAGCTCATCTTTTTGCTTTTTTGGAGGGGGTAGGGAGGAGTAGAATTATTTAGCCAACATAAGTATTCTGGTCGCAACTTGAAGACCATCCTTACTTAGTTCCATAGACATGCTTTAAATATGATCTTTTGAAGCCAGCTCCCTGGAAAGCCTACGGAACCTCAGGCTGATAGCTTTGGAAACTGTGAAACTGCCTGGCAGGAAGCAAAGTGGCTACAAGATTAGGACGGTTGTATAAGTGGAAGTGACTTGGCAAATACAGGGGTAGATTTAGGCTGAGCATGAGCCTTGGGCTAAAAAATGACCTTTCTTTGGGGTAAATCCAAAGGGTATGACTTTCCTATGCCCTTGCGAAGTCATGGAGGGGAGCGTCATTCCAGGTCAGATATTATGGAGTTGTCTAGCATCCGCAAAGGTAGGCTTTCTTCTGGGACATTTTCATTTTCATTTTATGCCCAAACAGAATAAAAAGCAAAACAAACTTTCTAAGCTAGAATAATGGAGTTAAGTCATTTTCCACTTTGTATATATTGATGCTAATAAAACAAATGAAAAAGAGGCAAATCTATGGGGTTTTTGTTGCAAAGATATTCCTGGGATGGCATCAAGGGGAGAGGGGTGTTTCTGGTGTCTGGGGACTAGGTTGGGGTGCACCTTCTGACACTTTGATTGACAAGACAGGCTGCCAACTTCGGAGTGGTTCCGGGAACATCAGAGCAATGTTTGGAACAAGACAGGACAGCTGCCATCATCAGACACACTGCTGTCATGGGCTGCCACGACCAAGTGCCATAGATGTGAGGTTTAAACAACAGAAGGTTATTTCTCATAGTTTGGGAGGCTGGAAGTCCAAGACCAGGGTGCTGGTCATTTAGCTCCTGGCGAGAGCTCTCCTCCTAGGCTGTGGAGCGCCTTCTCCCTCTGCCCCTCCTCTCTCTCTCTCTCTCTCTCTCTCTCTCTCTCTCTCTTTCCCCCTCTCTTTCTCAAATAAATAAATAAATTTTGAAAAAATAATAAATATCATGGAAATCAGGTATGGGTCACCCCAATGCAAATTCCCCTCTAGCTGTGAAGCTATGGGACTAAATAAAGCATGTCCTTCCATACAATGATGGGACAAGCACAAGATGGATGTCCCCATTCCAAAAAGGGATAATTCAGCCTTGAGCCTGGACCAGCGGTGGGAGTGATCACTGTGATGACCTCTGAATCAGCTCCAGGGTCCTTCTTCCTTCTCCTTGAAGAATAGCACTTCCATGGCTGAGTAGCTGTGTGGGCGGATCCTGTAGGATCCAAGAACTGCCACAGCCCTTCCTTCACTCTATCCCATTTTCCCTGTCCCGTTTGGTCTCATCCCATCTGTATTCCTGGCTTCTGCAGAGATGGCTGGATAATTCATGAGTCTTCCCTGCGAAGTCTTCATCAGCCTGGTTGTTCAGCCCTTCACTGTTCTCTTCAGATCAAGCTTTCTCATTCTTTGCAACATGGATAGGCAGAGAATTTGCCAAATCTTCAAATTCCCACTCCCGTTTGCATAGCAATCCTTCTTCTATCCTTCCTTCTCCTTCTGCATTTTGACTGTAAGACATCAGGAGGAATCAAGCCACTCCTCCAACACTTCGCTTTGACATCTCCACAGCTAACCATCAATCTCATTGCTCCCAACTTCTACCTTCCTATAAAATACTAGAACATAGCTCAGCCAAGTTCTATGCCACTTTAACAGAAAGATCACCTTCATTCCCATTTCCAAGAACATGCTCCTCATTTCCGCCTGAGAGCTCATGAGAATGACATCGACCATACGTATTTTTACTCACATTTTATTGGAGGCAATGTAGGCTTTCTCTAGCATGGAACTCGAAACCCCTCCAACTTCTACCCACTACTCACTTCCAAAGCTGCTTCCACATTTCTTTTTTCCAAAGTAGAAAGATTCTGGTGAGGAATAGACTAACAGAGCCAAAAGAAGGCAATCTGACTAAAATGTGGCTGAAAATTGCAGTCTCCAAATTCTTCCAGTTCAACTTGCTCTCCAGTGACTGGGCAGAGGATCAAGGGGTGAGGAGTAAGGGAAAGAATATGGTTCTATCCATCAACTGCCTTTCCTCTGACCCAAGATGTCACAAAATACTGAGTACCCAAAAAACAGTAGAAAAGTCAACTATGTTTTGTAACTATTGGTTGTGAGAGATCACTGAAAACATTGTAATCTCCCTCTAGAGCCTGGTGTTGATAAACTTCCGCAAGTGGTTCAGAAACCCACTTAGTCTTTCAAAAATCAGCTATTGGAATGTTTACCTTCCAGTTACAATGTAAAGGTGCATGAGGCACCTGGGTTGCTCAGTCGGCTGAAGGTCAGACTCTTGATTCCAGCTCAGATCCTGGTCTCAGGGTTTTGAGATGGAGCCCAGCATTGGGCTCCCCCCTGGGCATGGAGCCTGCTTGGGATTCTCTGTCTCCCTCCGCTCCTCCCTCCCCCATCCTTTCTAAAATAAATTTTAAAATAAATAAATAGATAAATAAATAAAATGGAAGTTAAAAATAAAAAACAAAAGTGAAAAGGTGCAAAGGAACATTGCATCCACCCTAACAGTGAGAACAAGTTTGACTAGTTTTTTTAGTTTTTTAGTTTAGTTTTTAGTTTGGCTAAGCTAAAATAAGCATAGCTTATTTTAAACACATCAGAAATATGGGATACAAAAATACTCAAATTAATGAAATTCCAGAAGGAGGTAAGCCCTTCTTAGGACAGAAGAGAGTGTCATGCCTGAGTTTTAATCTCTGAGAGCACAAGAGAAACATGAGGAAAGCCACCATAGCAGGAAAGAGGAGACAAACAGCCAATTTTTAAAAAAGGAATTTTTTTCTATGACTGCATGTGGCATGGGTGACACATGAGAATCCCAAGAAGTTCCAGCCACAAAGCCATTTGGCCCCCGCTCCCCAGCTCCATCCCATAGGACATTCATGGAACTCACAAGTCAGGCCAAAGCCAGGGAGCAGGGCAGGAGAGTTGGGGGCAATCCCTCTGTACCCAAGAACATAGTCACTGTAGGATGAATTGAAATGCGTGCAATCCCACGTGGCCTTCAAAAGAACCTTCTAAAGATCCAAACCAGCTAGAGATGTTCCTGTCATTCTTCTCAAGTCACCATATCAACAGTTCAGTTTTTTTTTTTTTAACAATTTTTTTTTAACTTTTTTATTTATTCATGATAGGCACACAGTGAGAGAGAGAGAGGCAGAGACACAGGCAGAGGGAGAAGCAGGCTCCATGCACTGGGAGCCCGACGTGGGATTCGATCCCGGGTCTCCAGGATCGCGCCCTGGGCCAAAGGCAGGCGCCAAACCGCTGCGCCACCCAGGGATCCCAACAGTTCAGTTTTAATTGCTGAGGCCTCCCTGGCAGTGAGTTTATTCAAATTGAAGCTCAAGAGAATCATAATTTATAGGATAGTATTTAACAAGTAGAGAAAACTCATACATTGGAATCTGATGAATAATTTGCTCCTATTTCATTGTATTTTTACAGTACAAGTGTCACATTTTGATTTGATTAACCAGTCAACCATTTTGCATGAGCTGTAGACTACCTGAAACTTGGCAGGCCTTTCCTGTTTGCGGGAAAAACCGTATTAACAATTATAGGATCATGGAGAGAATAGCTAGAAATTCACTATATATATATATATGCCATAAATGATGAGAGAGGGAGAAAAAGCTTGCATACCATGAGAGGCAGTGTGGTGTGATGCCAATTCTGGAGTCAAAGAGGCTGGGTTCATAGCTTATCTCTGATGCTGGTTAACTGTGTAACCTTGATCAAAGGACTTAACCCCCTACTGCTTCTGCTCCCCCATCCATGAAATGAGGACAACAGGGCTGCTGTTGAAGAATCCAATGAGTTAATATACATGAAGGACTCAGAGCAGCACCTGCACATAACAAGCACCCTGCAAGTGTTTCCTAGTAGGGGTATGCTTGCAATTGTAGATGAGCTCCTGTTTCGTGTTTGCTGTGGCCAGTCCTGGGCCAGGGGAGACGATGACATGGTCCTTGCCTGCTTGGATCTTCTAATCTAATGGGAAGACAGACCCAAATCAACAAACTGCACAAATATATGAACATGAGCGGTGCTACACGCCAAGAATGAAAAGTGCAGGGATATGCCAGGTAGAGTCATGATTGGGGTGAGCAGGCAAGGGGATGATTTTAAACTGGGATCTAAAGGATTAAATAGAGGAGCACCTGGGTGACTCTGTCGGTTGAGCAATCGACTCTTGGTTTTGGCTCAGATCGTGATCTCGGGGTCATGGGATTGAGGCCTGCAGTGGGCTCCCTGCTCATCGAGGAATCTGCTTGGGATCCTTTCCCTCTTCCTCTCTCTCCCCTCCTGCCCCACACCACCATAAATAAATAAATAAATAAATAAATAAATAAATAAATAAATAAAATATTTTTTAAAAAAATAAAGGATGACAAGAGGGGTAAAGGAATGTTGGAGATTGAATTTATTTTTTTTTTTGGAGATTGAATTTAAATAAAATATTATAAATAAATAAAAATAAATTAAGGAATAAAAATAAAAGAGCTCTAGATAAAAGCCAAAAAAAAGGAATGTTGGGAAAAGTTTTGGGGCGGGAGCACGTGGACAGAGGATGATGGGAGCTTGGCACCTTTGATGGATGGTTGTGTGGCTGGAGAGCCAGGTTGGGGCAGATCTCCAAGGCAAGGAGGGAGACACATCTGGACTTCTGTGTTTAGTGCTCCCTCTGGTGGCCACCTGGGGAATCCAATCCAAAATTCTGGTTAATTCTCAAAATTGGGGCCATTTCTCCAGGGGACAACTCACAGCAAATGGAGAAGGTGAGGCCTGGGGAAGCATCCTGGTGGTTGCCAGAGTCTCCTTCCCTGAGCTGTCCAATCATTTCTTTCTTTTTTTTAAGATTTTATTTATTTATTCATGAGAGACACAGAGAGAGAGAGAGGCAGAGACACAGGCAGAGGGAGAAGCAGGCTCCATGCCGGGAGCCGATATGGGACTCGATCCTGGGTCACCAGGATTATGTGGCGCTAAACCGCTGAGCCACCGGGGCTGCCCTGTCCAATCATTTATATCCATAATATATATATATATATATATATATATATATATATATATATAATCATTTTATCCATATTATAAAACAGAGGGGTGGGCTTCTGAACGGTCCCCCTGGGGAGAAGCTTCTGTAGTGGGTGTGGGGTGGCTGCAAGGACTAGGGTGGGGCTGTCACTCATGGGCTTGTCACCCAATCCATTCTGGAATGGAGATCCCAAGGAAGGACAGACAGGGCAGAGAAGGAAGACAAGAGAGAAAGGTCAGAGAGCATCTAGGGTGACTTCAGAACCAAGATTCTGTTTCGGGACCTCGCTGCCCTACAAATAGAGGACAATAGTGGAGACACAGAACACCCTTGAGACCAGAGGCCACCCTCACTGGCAGAGATGCTTCAGACCAACAGCAGGAGGGACAACCCTGGGCCAGGAGCCAGCGCCAGAAAGAACT